CCTGATTTCTATCGAGAGTCTTCTTAGGTGACTTCAGTTATTTAAGATGTAATTAATTATAGGGGCTTGCGCTTATAGGAAGCATGTCCGAACCCAGGTAAAATAAACTCTATTTAATCTTTGTATTAAATAGGGGAATTTGTCGGTCATATATAAAAAAAGTTCGCAGACCAAACGGATGTCACAAATCTCTTAGTTTGCAGGATTGGGTCTATCGCTGAGGTCTACACTTATCTCTCGGGAAGGTGTAGTATTTGCGGTATCAGACACGATTATGCAAACTATCAGACTAATGAGATCCATTTAGTCTCATTTTTCAAAAATTAAAACATACTACTTTTAAAACTCAAACTATATATATCTTTTATACTTAAATTAAATCTCAAAAATTATTTTCATATATCATATTTTTAAATCTATCTATATCGAAAAGTTGACCGACACACTTGAACTTGGGCGAACATATCTGTATGAACAATGAGGCGATCTATTCTTGATTCTGATGAGTTCACATTGATCTTGGCAAATTCATACTGGTTTTTGGTGAGTTCATATCTATCTTGACGACGAGGTTAAGTTAGTCTTAGTAAATTATCGTGGACTATCATGCCACTGAATTTTGAGATATTTTTTTGGTATATATTTAATTTTTTAATTCTCTTGTATCTTTGGAACTTAACTGCAACAAGAATGAGTGAATAATAATAAAAGTATCTTTTCCTTTGAGAAAACAATTTATCGTTATTTTACTTCCCTCTTATGTAGAAATTTGATTTCACTTTTCTGACTTCTTAACTAATTTCGTCCTTGTAAAAAGAATTTAAAAAGTATTATATATGTGTGTGTGTATACACGTATTAGAAAAGTAATAACTAGTATTTTATATTCTATCATTGTTGAATTTCATGTTGATTGTGACATTAATGTCTTTTGTACATCTCATTATCATTTGAAGTCTGTAAATAGAGATATTCTTCTTTCAGTTAAACTCTACTTGATTCATTCATCCTCTTCTGTTTGAGCTTTGCAACTATTCAAAATGTTTACTCCCAAGGATAATATTTTTTTCGCTAAAGAGGAGATATTGTTGCCAACATTCTTAAAGAAGCAAGAAAGGGAAGTAAAAAAAAAGCTCTTTTGAAAAAATTGCAAGCTAAGAGAGTAAAGTAATAACTATGGAAGCAATTGAGGAGAAAAGCCATGCAACCTTGGGTTAAAGAGAGTAGATTTAGAAACTATTGAAGCAATTAAGGAGAAAAGCCATGCTATCTTAGTTGAATCAACAACTTCCTTGGTTCACTCGTGAATATTCCACCAACTAAACTAGTTGGTAAAGGCTCAATTCCCCCTCCGAGTCGACATTTGAATTTAACAAGGCTTACAGTTTTTTTAGAGGCCTTTGTGCACTAAATAATTGTGTGATGAATTACTTATGAACTCAGGGAATGAAGTAAACATTTCCAGTGGCACACACAAAATACCTGAATGTGACTCCGTAATAGTAAAGAATATCCTGCACTTCTAACTATCATAATGTCTAATAAAGAGCAATCAATTTTGAATTGGTGGCATGGTCGATCCGAGGTTGGAGATTTTCTACTTTGCAGGAGGCTTTGACTCTGCAATTTCTCTTGAGAAAGTATTGGTCAGTTGCGCTTGTGCTTTTTAGTTCACTTTAGGCAAGGTAACAGTGAGGGCGTAAACAAGCTGAATTTGAGCGAGCTTAGTGTTTGTGTTTAGATTGTTTATTTTTATTTATTTATTTATTTATTTTGTTTGAAATCAGCTCATTCGAAATCGGTTCGTGAAGTGCATGTTTTATTTTATTCATTTGTATTTGTCTAGTTATGTGCAACTTGTGCTCGACTCATTTTTAGCATAAATTATTTTAAAATATTAAAATTTAATTTTTTAGCTAAAACGCAACTTTTTGACTTATCTTATTAATACAACTATATAAAATTATTACTAAATATTAATTTTTTTAATTTTTCAAGTATTTTTAGCGGAAAAAGAACCGAACATGATTGCTCAATTGATATTTGTGCTTGGCTCCTTTATAAATTAAGCCCAAAATTTTTATGCTTGTTTTGCTTCTTTAATGAATGACCGAACATGAGCTCTTTAACAAAGCCGAAGTCAGTCTATTTACAAGCAAACTAGTTTTTTTGACAGCCCTAGGTGAGGGAGTAGAATCTTAATCGCTATCAAGCTGGTTGAGTTTTATCATGTCTGGTAGGGTAACGCTCTTGCCATCAAGTCTCCTACGGATGACAAAATTTGATGATCCTTTCTGCATCTTCACTCTAGAAATGTTTCTAGAAACACACTCCAACGCTCTCTCTATCATCCTATTTAATCTTTCTTACATCTTAGTGAGCTGTCTTCATGTAACTAGCTTTTGTTCGCCATCTTTATTCATATCTCTCTGTTTTGTGCTCTTTTTGAAGTGAATTTCTGCTGCTTTTTGGCACGTCTATGCTTATCACTCTTCACAAGCTGTCGGATCCAAAAGTGCCCGTGGATAATACCAGAACCTTACTAAAATTTATAATAAGAGGGAATAGCAAAGATTAAGAGAGAGAGAGAGAGAGAAGCTCTTGTGTCTTTATTAGAAAAAGTTTAAATATAAAAGTTTATGTAACTTAGGTTCTCCTTTTGAACTTTTATTTGTGTTTAATTGTTATAGGAAAGACTCATTAAGCTACATCTATTAGAAGAATACATAGCAAATCTCATGATCGTTTACTGAACATGAATTTGTTTGGTTGTAGTTTTCAAAGAATGAGGGACTGAGGCCACTAGTGTAATGGTTGAAAATGTCAGCTTATTAAATAAATTTGTTGGCTTGGTTGAAGAAATGTGTGCGAATAATTCCTAAACTTTGAATGAGTATGTTGGAGTGTGTTGGGGTGAGCACACCTGAACTTGGGTGAGTATGCTTGAGTGAACAATGAGGCAAATTCTCCTTAATTCTAGTGAGTTCACGTTGATCTTGATGAGTTTGTGTTGGTATTGGAGAGGCCATATTTTCCCTGGCAAGTTCATGTTAGTCTTAGTGAATTATTTTGGGTTATGCCACTGAACCCTTGAGATAACATTTATTATATAAGATAGCATTAGAGATGACCCAAAAACTCAATTTTTATGATATTTTTGAATATCCGAATGGAGAAATATTAGATTTTCCATAATTTTAATCGATGTTCATGTGAGTGAAAATGAGCTTAACTGGGTAAAAGGAAAGATTGAAAGTTTATGGAAGGGAAGGTGAGGAGTCTCTCTGAGTTGGAAGAGGCTGATTAGCTGATATTTGTGCTGTTGTGGGAGTTTGAGACCTAAAGCATGCCAATGCACTTGTGCAATATACCACGCCTGCTACCAGATAAGTCACTTATCTGGTAGCATTTGGGGTAGATTGTGTAAATGGATTTTGTTTTCTAATAATCTTCTAGTCATTTTTGTTACTCAGGAGATAATTGAGGGTGCATTTGGGGCAGCTTGTGCTTATCCAGATAAGTCATTTATTTGGAAACGCGGACCGCGGGATTTGACCCGTGTTTCGCGTTTAGTGTAAAAAACCAACTGCGTTTTCGAATAAGCTACTGAAACGCATTTTCCAAATTGTAAGGCGGCGTTCTTAAAACGCCATCGCAGCGGATAAGCTGCCCCAAACGAAGCCTAAGTGCTTAGTTAAGCTTGTATATGATTTTTCTTTTTTTTTATACATCAATTTGATTTAGGCGTTGTATTCCCCTATGATTGATATTCTTAAATAAAGAAAGAAATTGCTGGATGCACTCAGAGCCTCTAAACCTTTTCTTGCATACTTCTTTTTCAGGCAAGGTTCACCTCATCAAATCCGGTGATAGTGCTTCTGAAATCAACTTGAACGACTTGAGTATGTTAATGCTTACATTTGCTTTAATCTCTCCCTCTAATATCTTTTTGCCATTGGCTCTTGATATCTGTTCATTTCTGAATTTGTCTATCCTGTAGGAAATGGAATATTTTGATTGCTGTGCAAGATGTTACCTGCCATGAATGATTTGGGCGTAATGCAATCTACCTGTTATCATTTTTGCTCTATGCTATCTTTAACATGAACTGAATTATACTGAAATTGACTTTTGAAAAAACTATGTTGTATTTAAATGAATTGTGGATTTAAAAAAAAAAAAAAATTGTTTTGTTTATGCAGCATGGATGCAAGAAACTTAAATAGAGTATCATAATTCAAGCAAAATGAGATTTTTCTCTAAAGAAGCCATAAGAGAGTAGTAAATACAAGAAGCAAACCAAAAAGAGATGGTGTGTATAACTATTAAGTATTTTTGGCATGTATACAAGAACAATGTGTACATGTTCATATATTGTGTACTGTTTTTAATGTTCTCCAGTGTTTAAGGGTTGAGATCAACTCATGTAGCTATTCCTTGGATGGTAGTGGCTGTTAGTGGTTTTTGCGATTTGTTAGTGTGTTTTGTTTCACTGCCTCTCAAGATCATGATCCAGAAGTGGATTTGCAGTTTGTGATGGAGTTGCATAATCTGGTGGTTGGCAGAAGTTTGGTAAGTGTATCTGTAAATTGATCTTGAGAGCGAGTGGCAAACTTGAATTTCCTTTAGAAAGAGTATGTTCTTAGATGAAATGATAGTTTATTAATCTTTTATGCTTGATACGAGCATAAAAGATTGGATTATTGGCAAGAGCTATAGTTGAGTTATTGTCACAGAAAAGCGCTGTGGGATTGGTTTTGGAGGGATGCTGTCTGTTGTAGCTGCGGAGAGTGCGGGATACTCGACTTTGAGGAATGACTGCGACACTCAAGTGGGTCTAATTATTGCGTGCGGAGAGCGCATGCAGAGCTGCGTGCGCTCTCTGATCACAGCCGCGCATCGCGGCTGTATGACAGTGTGCACTCTCTGCACGGAATAATCACTCCTCAAGATGGGGTGAATTGATTGATTTTAAAAATTGTATTGAAATAATTTAAAAAGACTTTTTTTATGAAGTAAACAAGTATTATGATTAAAATATGAAAAAAAAGCTTTCACTGGTGTAACTTTCGAAATGATTTTAGCCAAGAAAATTAGTTTGAGACTTATTGGCAGAACAATCATCCTTTGGAGAGAATATTTCCTGGGATTATTTAAATTGATTATAGGTCTAAATGCGCTTAATTAACAACTATTTATAGGCTAATTTGGTGAGCCATAGCTCTCTCCAAGCTAGAGCTGTAAACGAGCCGAGCTTGAGCGAGCTTAGCCTTGGCTTATGTTCGGCTTATTTAAAATTGTGTTTGAAACAGGCTCTTTATATATATATTATAATATTGAAATGGTCTCACTTTGGATTTATGTTGGAGCAATCAATGTAAAAACTCACCATATGAAGGCTTCCCGTATATTTCTTTTATTTATTCCCGTTATTGCCCGCCCCGGTCCTCCGATTTCGCTCGAAATTGACTCGTTAAAATTAAATTGAAAAAACAGATGTAGAGTATTGGATTCAAACCTAGATCAAATATATGCTAAAGAAGATGCGTAACCACATTATCACACAAGTAGTCATGTTTCAAATAGGCCCGACCTGATCATGTCGCAAGCACAAGCAACTGCCCACGCCACCCACCACGTAGCTCGAACCCGGCTAGCCCGTGTCTGCACTAAATTGATCCAATCCACCGTCGTGCATCACCTATCGCTGACCACCATGTTGTCGACCACATACGCTCACAATCGTTGCCACCGTTCATCGCCATCGCTGGTCTCCATCACCACAAATCACCGACTGCTGCCTACCACAGTTTGTCATTGCCTCCAATTGGCTCCCATACCAAAATTTTGTACTTCCTTTATTTTTTATTTATTTTTTGATGACACAATCATTGTCGCTCAAAAATAAGGGGCAACAAATGTATTATTAGGAAATTTTATCATTTTGCATGAATCTTGAAGGATCTTTTGAGTAATAAATATTTCACATTCAAATTCCAGATCATCCAAGGCCTTGATTTTGATAATTTATATTCAAATTGACCACCTTGACAAGTCAAACTCAATGATACCAAAATTATTTTGATTTGAGTTCAATCAAGTTCAAATCAAGTTATTAAAGCACAATTAGAGACTTATTGTCAAATTGAGTGTTTGATGAGAGGATTCTAACGAGCCTAGGCTCGCTTAATATTAAGGTCATTAAGACCCTCAAATTATTTAAAAATCACTTATAATCAAGGGGGGTTAATATGTGTCATCAATTAGGTGTTTACGAGATTTATTCGCCAAATAATTAAATGTCCATCTCTTAGATGCTATAAATAGACTCCCTCTCTTCACTTGAGAGAGAGGGCAGAAGGAGTCAAATTCCAGTGTGGTTTTTGATTAAACTCCAGGCAATAACTCCCATCCTCCATGGCTGCCAACCACCATTGACCATCACCTACTAGCCACCATCGACCATCATTGGCCATCCACCATCAAGCACCGTCGAACGCCTCTGGTCACCGTCGTCGACCGCCTCGTCTCTCCACCATTGATACTCTCATAACTAATGATGTATCCCATATATGGTTTAATAATGTATCCTAAATACGGTTTAACTACATTGTTTAATGACATATAAAAAATGTGGTGTGATAAATAACATCGTATTAAAGTTCGGATGATAAATCTCGGCCTTCATAGATATCGACAATTGCCGACCGTCGCTGATCGCCACTGCCTGCGAACTTTGCTAGCATACGACGTATCCCAAATATAGTGTAATGATGTATTTTGAATATAGTGTAACAATGTATCACAAAAATGGTTTAACGACATATACCAAATTCTATGTAATGAATAACGTCGTTCTAAAGTCCTAATGATAACTTCTAGACTCCATTGCTATCGACCACCGTCGAATATCGCCCACTAGTTGCCCTCGACCGCCCCTGACCACCCTTACCCGCCTCTATCGGCAAAATCTCCTAGCTAATGATGTATCCCAAATATGATGTCAAATACAGAGCAACGATTTATCCTAAAAATGCTATATTGACATATATCAAATACATTGTAATGAATAATATCATATTGAAGTACTAATGACAACTCTCGGCCTTCATAGCTGCCAACCTCCGTTGACCACCGCCAATCGTCCACCATTGACCGCATCCAATCACCTTTGCTTGCCACTATCGACAAACTCTACTAGCTAACATTATCCTAAATATGGAGTATATGAATAATTTCGTATTGAAGATCTAATGATAACTCTTGGCCACAACTGCTTACAATCGTCATATTCATAATAGATTGTCTTCTTTCGGACTCCTAAAATTTTCTATATGTCGTATACTAACAAGTGCCGCCTTTAGTGTAAGATAAAAAACTTTAGAGATGGGTTGAAACCACCAATCGGTGTAGCACCAACTACGATATTTGTGGTTAGTTACAATTGTATCTTCCCACTATGACCTTTATGACAAACTGACGCTACTGTAGCTACCAACTATGACTTATGTGACCAATTGTGACCTATATGACTAAATGCTAAGGCAAATTCCAAGTACGACTGATGCATCATCAGCTACCAACTATGACCTATTTGGCCAGTTACTATTATAACTTTTTACCACATCCCCTGTGGCTAAGTGACGTCTTTGTAGCTTCCAACTACGACATATGTGGTCAGTTACTATTACAGACATCGCCTAAAGCCTCTGCAGTCAACTATCGCTATTGAAACCATCGACTACAGTCTTATGAACAACAACAGAATTTATAGCAACTAAGCATGACTTATTATCATTACTGTCAAAAACCACTTTTTTTAAGCCCAATTATGACTGTAATTATCAGTATCATAATTTTATTTTCTCTTACTCAAGGGAATAATTGATCAATATATTTACAATCAATTGATTATTTTGATCAGACCGTCTCATTTTTTCCTTTTCCAAACTTTTTTTACTTAACAAATCATAGTGTCGTCTTTTGCTGCTTTTTTATCATCTATATATGTTGGATTTTCGCGCAACGCCAAGATATTAAATAATCACTCTAACACCCTGAATTTTCAGCCATTCAACAATTGAAATAATAAACAATCATAAAAATAATTTATTAAAAAAATGGTCTTTAATCACTGAACCCTTTTATTCAAAATAATAAATCATTAAAATAATATGTTGAAGCAATAATATGCGGAGTGCTTTCAAATCTGTCCCAACTTCAGCAGATAAGCCGATAAGGTTTGGCGCATGTTATGGTGGATAAATGCCATCATTATTGTTTGTTTTTAAGCCAAAAGATTAATGACATGTTGTAATGCTGAATCTTATCTTATTGAATTTAAGAGGTAACGTACGTTAAAGTTCATTTAAGCAATTAAAAAATCATAATATTAAGATGGTTAATTACTATCACCGTTCGGGGGCAAAGTAATACATTACGACATCTGGTTGGTGGTGATCGAGGGTGGTTAGTGGTGGTCGATGACGGTTGGCAGGGGTCGGCGATGGTCGACGATGATTGGCGTGGTCGACGACGGAGGTCGGCGGTGGTTGACGACTATCGGCAATGATGCTGAGCTGCAGCTTCACCTTAAGACCTCAGACTCTCTCTCTAGACTTCAGCTTCCACTCATGTGAGGGGTGGGAGTCTATTTATAGTCTTCTAGTTGCAATTAATGCAATAACATCAACCATTTTGATCAGACGGTTCAGAGACTTTCTTTCGATTATGCTGTGTTTGATGGACATTTGAGTGCCTTAACGATGTTAGAATTGAGTAATCTTGGGCTTGTTGTATTTGTCTTTTCGAGGCGCTCGATTCGAGTATAGGTATCTTGGGCTTGTTGTATTTGTCTTTTCGAGGCGCTTGATTCGAGTATAGGTTTGCTAGTGTCGACATCTGTTTGACCTTCCAAATGTGTACATAATAAATCTTCCAAGGGTGGTTTAATGACATGATTTGAGCTTGCTTTAACTCAAATTTGACTAGTTTTTATATCATTAGGTCTGTCTCACCGAGCCGGTTAGTTTGACTGTAAGTTTGCTGAAATCGGAGCTCTAAATGAATTTTTATCAAGATTTAAACTTTTCTTGCTTGAAATGTCATCTTGGTACTGTGTCATGTCTCGAGATTCGTGCCGAATGATACAAATTTGTTGTTGGTGTATCTATACATATAAAAA